ACAGTCCAACTCTCTAGTTTGTACTCGCGGAGGAAATCACACGGGGAGATGGAGCTCATCTTCTCTTTGCGGTCTTAACTCTTTTCAAGGGAGAATTATATACTTCAAGCTGTCGCGTTTTATAACAATGGCCGTAGAAGGCACAGCGAAGCAGAAAATGGAACCAGCTGCTCAGGGGCATTTTGAACATTTTCCAAAAAAAAAAAATAGGCCATTGAGAAATTTGTGGAACTTATCTAGAAATGCTTAATGTCCTTATATTCAACTTTCTATAAAGGAGATTTCCAGTTTTTAATAAATTTGGCTGCTTCTTTGATTTTTTTTTTGATGGAGAAGAATAGTAATTATTGGAAAAATATTAAATATTACCTTATAGCAGTTTCATACCAAGGATAGAGCAAAATCTTTTATTTTCCTTTTTTTTGAAAAGCATTTATTTTCTCTGGGCAAGATGGTATTTATGTTCATGCTTAGAGGCCCTCCCACAACTCCCTCTATAATGGCTACAATGGATCACTTCAAAAAGAAAAAGTTTTAATGAAACTCACATTGCAATGGACCAAAAATGAAACAGAAACGGGAAGCGCATGGAGGACTGACCCGTGGGATCTGTGAGGCTCTGCGTCCGAAGCAGCAGAGGTGCTGGGAGCTCTGTCCCTGAGGAGCAACGGCCTAAAACGGCTTCAAGAGCAGTTGAGAACAGCCACCAAAAGCAGTGCTTAAAGCCCAGGGCTGGAACAATCTCCCGCCTTTATGAAGGGAGGCTAGGGAAAAAAAAAAAAAAACGGTTGTGACAGTTATCTAAGGATCCAGAAGGGGTGGGACGTGAGCCCAGCTTCTTGCTGGCTCTAAAACTGGATCTACAATGTTCCCAGTGCATGGCTGGGCAAGACCGCAAGCATCCAATGCAATACACGTCTCTACCTCAGAGCCCCAAGAGGCTGGATGGAGGCACCTTCAAGGCATGCGAGGATGAGTAGAGAGCGAAAACAGAACACACCTCTCTCTTAAGATGAGCCTGCAGGCCTAAATTCCAAGACATGTAACTCAAGAAGAAAGAGAACAATATTGGCAACCAGGAGATGAACTCAGACTAGATGAAATAAAAATAGAGCAGTCTGAAAATTAAAATAATAGAGCAGACTAAAATAAGTATGTTTAGGATTCTCATGATGGATAAAAGAAGGAAAAATGTCCACAGAAGTTAAAAAGGGATTATAAAACAAAAACTGGAAGAAATAAAATAAGGACAAGTAGGTATAAAAAAAGAAAATTGGAGATGAAAAATATGGTTATTAAAAAAATTCAATAGGCCTCTGGACCCCCAAAATTCTACTGGCAGGAGGTAGGCTGAGAAAACTACTCAGTTGCAAACATATGCTACCTTTCCAGAAAAAGGAAAGATGCCTCAGAGGGTGGAACCAGAGCCCAGAAGAGCCAAGAGCCATGGAGGAGTATTCCAAATTTTGCAATCTAAAAGAACTTTACAACAAATGCATGGTTGGATTTCAGTGATTGTTTTGTGCCTCTCAATTTCCCTCCTTTTGAATATAAATGTCTATAGCAATAATAGTATACCTGTCCCACCAGTGTATGTCACTTGGAAGCTGCTTTGAACCTCTCACCAGCCCTTCTATTTGCAGGTGTCTTCAGAACTTGATAGCCTGCCCTTCTCTTCTGCCTTCCAAATCTTGGGCAAGTGCTTCATGGTGGCAAACTCCAACCAGTCTGGAATCATTCAGAAAAGTATTCAGAGAAATCGTTTCTAATTTTCTGGAAATGTGGATGAAACATTCAAAGAAGTGCTCATGTTGCTGAGAGAGAATCCTGCCACATGTAAGACTTGTTCACTGGGTCCCCTATGCCAGCTACACTCTGATCTGAATTTTCTAACCTTTACCTCTTCTTGCTTCGTGGATATTTTCTTCCGATCTGTTTTCCAATTCACTAATTCTTTCTTCAGTTCTAGGTTATTTGTTAGTAAAACCAACCCAATGAGTTTTAAACTTCAGTCATTGTATTTTTCAGTTCTAGAATTTCCATTTGATTCCTTTTTATAGTTTCCAGTATCATTCTTGCTTTTACATCTGTGACCATGTTAAGCATTATTATTTTAAAGTGCATAGCTGATCACTCTATTTTAATATGGACTTCCCATAAGTCAGTTTCTGTTGTTTGTTGTTTCTCTTGGTTTTTGGTCATGTGTCCATGTTCCTGGGTGTGTGACACACATTATACAGATAAAACTGTGGAGACAATTTGAGATTCAGATGGTATTTTCTTCCTCTAGACAGAATTGATATCTGCTTCTGGCAGGAAGTCAAGCACACTAACACCCTAGACCACTTTCATACATTCAGGATTTGATGTGAAGCTGAGCTTTAGTCCCTGCAAAGTTTGATCTTACTTCACCTTTATTGCTAGAGTATAGCATTTTGGAGTCCCACCCCAGAGCCTGGAGATTAACCTCTCCTCCTTGGTGGTCTCAAAATAACAATTTGGTCCCTTTGGTCATCAATCTGTTGAGAGCTTTGCTCAGTAGGTGAGCCTTCCAACGCCTCTTGAAGATAGGCAGATGCCCATACAGGAAGAGTAACCCCAATAGCCAAGCTCGCCTTTCTGGAATTCCTCGTCTTTGAGTGGCCTCTTTATTCTTCACTCCTGTTTTAGTTACGATGCCTTTGATTTTTGTTTGCCCAGCTTTTCTCATTTCAGTGAAAGGGCTGCTCTAAAGGACCTAGATTGCCATTGTTGTTGTTGTTGTTAGGTACCGTTGAGTCACTTCCAACTCGTAGCAACCCTATGTACAACAGAATGAAACATTGCCCAGTCCTGCACCATCCTCACAATCCTTGTTATGTTTGAGCTCATTGTTGCAGCCACTTGTAAATCCATCTTGTTGAAGGTTTTCCTATTTTTTGCTGGCACTCCACTTTACCAGGCATGATGTCCTTCTCCAGGGACTGATCCCTCCTGATAACATGTCCAAAGTATGTGAGACGCAGTCTTGCCATCCTTGTTTCTAAGGAGCATTCTGGTTGTACTTTTTCCAAGACAGGTTTGTTCATTCTTTTGGCAGCCCATGGTATATTCAATATTCTTCATCAACACCACAATTCAAAGGCATCAACTCTTCTTTGGTCTTCCTTATTCATCTTCCAGCTTTTGCGTCCTATGAGGTGACTGAAAACACCATGGCTTGGGTCAGGTGCACCATAGTCTTCAAGGTGATATCTTTGTTTTTCAACCCTTTAAAGAGGTCTTTTGTAGCAGATTTGCCCAATGCAATGTGTCTTTTGATTTCCTGACTGCTGCTTCCATGAGTGTTGATTGTGGATCCAGGTAAAATGAAATCCTTCACAACTTCAATCTTTTCTCCATTTATTGGTCCGGTTGTGAGGATTTTTGTTTTCTTTACATTGAGGTGTAATCTATATTGAAGGCTATGGGCTTTGGTCTTCATCAGATTGCCATTACAGAAGCAGAAATATAGAGTTACTTTTTTAAAACAAGACGATCTTGTTTTTAACACTGTGTAAAACTCTTCAGTGGCTCCTGTAGTTGATACCTTTGGTTGCCTGCTCAATAACCACTCACCTTCTTTCCTCATTTCTAACAGAATCCCAATTTTTGTTCAAGTATTGTGGTGGTTTTATAATATACCAACTTGGCTAGGCTGAGCTATGTTGCCCGGAACCCCTTTCCTTGTATGTTTCCAGTTAGTGTGGGCCAGTGATGTTGCAGCTCACACATGTTGTTGTCTAGCTGCTGGCTCACCTCATTAGCATGAGGTGGCAGCTGGGCCTGCAGGTGCACCACCTTCCCCTCTTTCAGCTTCTCCAACTCCTTGGCTAGGTGTGTATGTTGTTCTGTGATGAATGGTGCCAATTTCTGCAGGACAACCACATTGTTAAAGTTGAGTCCTTCCTTGTGGGTTCCAGGTTGCGCTAGTTCTAGTTTGCCCTTGTTTCCCCCCCACTTTACATCCAACTCCCCTTCCTGATTGCCTGCTCTGTGCACCTCAGGCTCCAGCCACAGCCTTCAGAGACTGTTTAGCCAGCTCTCACAATTGCAGAAGGTCAAGTCTCTGTAATAATTCCCTTAATAAAAGAATCCCCTAGTGGTTCTACTTCTCTGACTGAATTCTGACTGATACAAGTATCCACAATCCTCTATCTGTGGGCTTGAGGGAGGTGGGCCCAGCCCAAGAGGGTGAGTCATGATTGGTCTAAGCAGATTATGGTGTTCTCATTTTCCTTGCTTGGTGACTGGTCTAGGTATTTGAAGCAATTCTGAACAATGAGATCGTAGAGACAATCTGCCGGGGGTCCTCTGGGAAAGATGCTCCTTGCTGATAAAAGGAGGCAGTCAGGAAGAAATAGGTCTTCTTCTACTGGATGATGAGTGTCCATGTGACAACAGCAACTGGGACAGTAATCCTATGACTGGAAGGGGAGCCAGGTCCACCTGCTGAGGGTGGCAAAGTTTAAAAAATGTGAAGAATCTGAGTTCTTGATGATGCTTTTAGACACTGAATTAGTCAGCCTTGAACTGCCCCTACTCCAAACTCCTCGTTATGTGAAGTAAGAACTCAGGTTGTCGAAGTCTGGAGTCCCTAAGAATGGCCTACAATGCCAGTGTCTCCGACCTCTTCCATCTCAAGGCCTTCTTCATACCCTCCTGCTTGCTTGCTGCAGTCTGGCCCACATGCCTTCTGTGTATCGTGGATACCCCAGGCATGTTCTGCGTGGCCCCTGACAGACCCACACAAGGTCCCCTTGGACATCCACCCCGGGGTCTCTCTTTCTCTCTCTCTTTCATTGAGTCATCAACTGCCTAAAGAAGTGGTCGCAGTTCGGTGGTCGACAGTACCACCACACCCCGGGATGGGCGCCCGCGGCCCACAGCCAACTAGGCCGCGAAAACCGCCGCCGCCAGGAAGGCGCCCCGCGCGCAGGCGCACGACGGCATTGCGCGCAAGCGTACGACAGCACTGCAAGCAGCTTGGCTTCTGCGGGGCGCCGTACAGCGGCGCGTCTCCGTGACAACAGCTTGGGGGTCGCGGCCTCCTTTGTTGGCGGCCGCGCTGTGCCAGGCTTCACGCGCCACTGTGCTAGTGGGGCCGGGGCGCTGCAGGTTTGGTGGGGACGCTGGACTGGGGATGAGGGCGTCGGGACGGGGACTAGGGGGCGCCGGGACGGGGATGAAGGGACAACGAGACGGGGATCGGGGATGCGAGTGAAGAAAGACTGCGCCCCCGGCCCCTTCGGCTCCCTCGTGCCGGGTCCGGTAGCTCCAGGGCCCTAGTCGCTGTCCCTTCTCAGGCCTGGAACGCGAGGCCCAAAACATCTCGTCCAACCCAGCCTGGCTGGGATGGGAAACTGAGGCAGGTCATGCTGGGGGCCCTAGCGGCAGTCCCTTCAACCGCCCGGGGCCCGCACCACCCAGCTCGTTCTTAGGCCCCAAACAGGTTTCACTCTTGGTTTAGAATATGTTCCCTGCTGAGAGGGTGTAGGAGGTTGGAGCCCCCCTCCCCGCTCTAACTTCCGCAATTTACAGAAAAGGAGCCTCGAAAAGGCCCAGAAGTCTCTATAGAATGCAGGCAGCCTCGGTCAAACACTGTTTCCAAATCATACAGACGTAGGTTCAAATGTTGCCTCTGCTTCCCTCCCTCCCCCCATTAATTGTGTGATCTTGGGGCAGTCTTAACGAATCTAAATTGAGCTTTCTCATATCCAAAAGGGGAATGAAATATATGCCTACCTACATCAGTCATTGAGTTAGCCAGTGGATTGTGTTAAATGAAGGAATGCAATTCAGTAAGTAAGAATTCACATGTTGATTATTATTGCTGGATAAATTGTATGGAAATTAGGAGTGGAAATGTGCCTGAATGAGGTTTTAGTGAGCAACAGTTCTTGAACTTTGTGTTGAGCAAAAGTATTGCTGAACAACTAAAATTCAAAATTCCAATTTAACAAATTTTTTTCCAGCACCTAAGAGCTAGCCAGACCCAGTACTGGTCATCTGGCCAAAATGGTAAACAAAGCAGGCAGTATTCCTGGACCCCTGGCCTCAAGGAGCTTCGAGGATACTGTGAGTGGCCCAGAGCCACAGCGGAAATAAGGAACCGTGCAAACTCAGGGACCCCCTCCATACATTTTATGAAAGGGATACGATTGGTTTACAGACTTGAAAACGTTCTAATCTGTTTTCATTCTTAAAATCGCCATTCCTATTTTTCATTTTTCAGTTCAAATTTATGATACCATTAATTACAAATGATGGGTTGGTAAGCAAATTCAGTCACTGCATAGCATAGCTGTTGCGTTCTAGCTCTGTACTGTGTGAGCACACTTATTGTCACTCTGCCTTTCCTTCCCTCCTCCCAGGTGACTGCAGACCAGAGAGGATGAGCATGAGTCTCTGGAGAGCTCCTTCCTCGTGGCGGACAGATGGAGGGGAGCTGCGCTCACCAGGTTCCCTACAGGGCTGCTGATGACCCAGAGGAAGGTGCTGATAGAGTGAGGGCCGAGCCTGCCTTCCCCTCCAGGGACGTGCACAGGGGGACCGCTGAGAGGGTCAACTTCTCTTCCTTGCCGGTGTTAGACTTGAGTCAAAGTGGCCTCCAGCACTTGGGAGAGGTCTTCAAAGTGCCCAACCTGAAAGTAAGTTGGTTGCTCCTCAGGAGTGTAAACTACACACTCAACCCTAGGCCTGTTATGTGCTGGCTTCTCTTTAGGAGAGAGAAGTTCTGGAAACTCTCCTAGGAAGAGAAAAACGGTTTAAAAAGCTGTGGGATTAGCTTTGGTGTCAGGGCGTATGGTAGGAAAAGTGTGGCATGCACAGAGCTGGAAGAGAAGCAGCTTGTCTACAGGATGCCACCCTCCACTCGAAGACTGCGCCCCGAGCCAGTGCTTCTCTGCTGGGCCTCAGCCCACTGCTCACACTCTGCATGATGAAGCCTCATCTCTGTAACTGGACATGTATGACTGCAGTTGCTAGTGGCTCTTAAGGAGATCCCTTGTGGATATATCATGTGTTGAAATCGAGTGTTCCGTGTTGGTTGACAAAACACTCTCTGATTCTCGTTTCTTTCCTCCTGAAGCAATTGCATCTTCAGAGAAATCTCCTCTGTGTGATTCCCAAAGACTTCTTTCAGTTACTGCCGAACCTGACATGGCTAGATCTTCGGTTTAATAAAATTAAAGCTCTTCCTTCGGGGATTGGATCGCACAAGTAAGCTTCATGTTGATATTTCCAGATTTTTACAAAAAATTGTGATTTATTTAAAATGTACAGAATGCCTGTGTTTTTGCTGCCTCTACTCATAATTGAAATTTGACTTCAGCATAGAAACATTTAATAGTATTTTCAAGGCCAGCTAAGAGGTGCGATGGCCGAATGTACCAAATACAGATACTTAGGAGATAATTTAGGAGACTTAGTGCCACCAAGAATGCCGGTAGCTAGGGCACCTTTGTTGAGCAATCCACGTGGGTCTTGCACCAGATGGTTCCCCTCTGTCTCTGTACTGAACACTCTGCGCCGTCTCATGTGAAGGGCCTGGAGGATCGAGATACGCCTGACGGAGGTAAGTCCAGATACTTTACTCCTGAGAACCAGAATGTGTCTTGTTTCCTGGTAAATCATGAGAACTTCGTCCCATTGGGGGGAAATCTGAACCCCTAGGCAAGTAGTGTGTGATCTCTGTCCGCACTTCTGCCACTCCAGTCCCAGGCATTTCCTAGGTCCCCATTCTAGAACCTACTCCTTCCTGGCCACTAACATGCACAGCCCCCTTCCTTCCCTCACGTGGTCCTCCCCAGCAGCCATAGGGCTTTCACCCTGTTCTGTCTGAGAACCACACACACCGTGGAGCTGTCATCCCTGACCTTTCCTACATGGCCTGCAGCTTTCCGTTCCAGAGATGAGCACACCCCCTACTGCTTCTGATAGCATTTCAGACCCTTTCTTAAGGTGTTTGAAGCTCAACACTAGGTAATCCTGCTGGCTGGAAATGCAGCAACAGGACAAGCACTGCTCGAGTGCAGACTTCAGTCTTCCCCACTCCTGGACGAGGGCACGGCCCTCAGGGAGAACGCTGCTTTCCTTTCTCCTAGAGCTGTGCAGAGGCGTGAATCGACAGAGGAGTAAAGCATTTGGGAGCTGCTGTGGGGACATGGAGTGACTTATTCTTCTTTTGAAGAGCCCCATCCCGTGCCCACTCCTCTACCTTGTCCATTTTCTCACCTGCTTACACCTAGAGTGCTGACTTTATGAGACATCTTCCTGCTCTCCACAGCCCCGTTACTCCCCTGGGGGCTCAGAAACCTCTGATGCCTGGCACATACTCCATCAAGGGCAGCTTTGTCAGCTTCATAAAAGCATTGCTGAGATAAAGAATTCATTACAAACATTCACTCGGTCAGTGCTTGCTGAGCACCTGCTGTGTGTTGACACTGACCCAGCCCTGGGCACGTGGAGGCAACGCTCTTGCATTCAGGGAGCTGCACTCCAGTGGGGACACAGAGACAGATGACAAAGAAACAAATGCACAGTGTGTTGGCGGTGATGGATGCCAAGAACAGTGGCAGGTTGAGGGCAGGGCAATGCTCCTTAGATAGGGAGGTTGGGAAGGCCCCTCTGATGAGGTGACCTTTGACCCGGGGCTCAAATGGAAGGAAGGGGTAACAATGAGTCATTGGGGGAGCACCGTTCCGGGCAGAGGAAAAGCCCACACACAGGCCCGGAGGTGGGACTGGGCTGGGCAGGTGTGGGGGCAGCAAGGAGGCCAGTGTGATTGAGCGGAACAAGGTGGGGGGAGGGGTAAGAGACCTCACAGATGGTGGGCAGAGCTTGTAGGCCAGAAATGCAACTTTGGATTTTATTTTGAACGAGATGGGAAGTCACAGGGTTTTGTATGGAAGGTGATGGGATCACTGTAATGAGGAGACTGTCAGGACAAGGGCAGGGGACCAGCTCAGGGGCCAGTGCAGTGGACAGAGGGACGGAGGAGGCCCGGGGTGACAGGACAGTGGGGTCTTCAAGCTGATTGTTGGATGTGGGTCCGGAGAGGAAGAGAGGTGTCCAAGCACGGCTCCCCAGTTCTTAAGCACGTATTGTGTCCTTGAAACCATGGCGGCCACCCTCACACATCAGGGCAGCTGCTGGGAACGTTGGTATGGAGTGCAGGTTGCTTGCCATGAGTTTTGCCCCTGGCTGCACAGATGTGACAACTCGGAGGACAGGGTTCTTAGGCTTCCACCAGGTGTCACTGACATCTGCTGAGCCCTCCACCGGCCAGCTGGTGGTGGGACAGGAGGCTAAGCCACCCTGTCCTGGGACTACTGTGTCCCTTACAGCTTGATCCAAGTGGCCTTGTGGGTCTTCCGAGCTCGAGGTCCAGGGAGAAGGCCTGGAGAAGTTCCAGTCCTTCACAAGGTCTGTGCTTAGCGTAATGGAGTATTTGTGGTCCATAAGTTGTTCTTGCCATAGCACCAAGTTCTGGAAAGTAATTGCTACTCAAAGGGTAAAAATAAACTAAAGCATAGTCCTATAAGTACTACACATTTTCCTAAAATAAGCACAGTTCTCAGATTTGGAAATTCTTTGACTTTGCCAGTCAAAGCCAGCTGCTTAAGGGGGTTTAAGATATAATTTTGCATGTAATTTATAACCCATTATATCATTAAATTAGATCAGCATGCTGAAGAGCTGAAACATATTAATTAGAAATTTTAAGTAATTATGGCTTTATTAAAAGCCTTAAACTTTTCAAAAAGCATAATTAAAACAATGATGTTCTCCCCCTTCTGGGATGATATCTGGGATGTGTAAGCTTGCTAGCAGAGAGAGAACATGAAAAAAAAATGTTGATCAGTTCATATGCCTCCTTAGACAACTAAATCCAATTTGATTTATAAATTTATGTGTTCAATCGGAAGTCATTGAAATGATCAGTGAGTAGACTTAGAATTACTGATAATTTTTAAGGGATTAACATTTATAAATTTATCATTTGAAGTATGCACGAGAATACCTTACTGTATAAGATAGGTGAAAAATCGCCTATGTACTTTCATGTTACTAGTTGGTAAACATGCCTTCCTCCTTCCTTCTTTTTCTCCAATATATTTTGTGCTAAATTTTATAAGAAATTAAAAGAAGCAAAATATATAACCTCTGTCTTCAAGGACTTTACATTCTTAATTGAGATGTGAAGATATTCTCATACATGCACACAACCTATATAATAATGCCTAGAGTTGCATTACCAGCATCCAAAGGGAGGGGGTGGATACAGGTGGTCAGTGCTCAGTGAGCAGTTCAGAGGAGAATGGGGTGGAGAAGAGCTGGAGTGCTCAGAAATGGCTCTATGGAGAAGGCAGAACTTGAATGAAAAATAGGAGACTCCATAAAAACAAAAAAGCCAACAAAAATGTAATACCAGAGTCTTCTGATGGACATACTGCAGAACATTAGTTCCTGGGGTGTTAATAGCTATTAAATGAAAGACGGGCTCTGCGGTCATGTACAAGCAGGAAACCACCTTAAACAAGGCTCGTTGATTTTGAGACTTTCAGAGTCCTCAATGTGTGGATTATTAATCACTAAGCAGACCACAATACACCATGCAGTAGAAGTCTCCCAAACGTTTTCAACCACAGAAAACCTTTACAGAGTATCTTTAAAAACTGGGCTTCCTCAAGAAACATCTCAGGAAACACTGGTATCTGGCTGGGGTATGCTATCCCAGGTCAGGGGTGCTCAGCCAGGGGCAGTTTTGCCCCCAGGAGACTTCTGACTTTTGGAGACATTTGTGGTTGTCACAACTGGGGAGGTACCACTGGCATCTAGTGAGTGGAGGCTAGGGTTGCTGCTAAGCGTCTTACGATTCCCAGGATGGCCCCCCAGAACTTTTTATTATCTGGTCCCAAAGGTCAGTAGTGCTTAGGTTGAGAAAGCCTGGCTGAGATCGTCTGATTTAGAGTCATACTTGCTAATGGCAGCGGACATGTGTGTCTATACCTATATTGATAAATATATAAATATATCTATCTGTATTAAAGTAAATATGTATATCTCTATTAAAGCTGTCCATTTAAAGAGAAGAAAAGTGAAGAGATTTCATGGTATATTTTAAGAGTAGTCATTTAATTTCTGCTTTCAAAATTATATTTTTGTTTTGTTTTAAAGGCATTTGAAAACTTTGCTTTTAGAAAGAAATCCTATCGAAATGTTACCTGTTGAGTTGGGTAAGTAGTACAACAATAAAATAAAAGATGATTTTTAAATGCTATCATTTGAGGTTACTGGAACCTGCAATGGAAACATCAGGCATGACACAGAAGTGTAGGCTAAGTGACATTTAAAAATCACTTCCAATTCTGTTCTTCTAGGATTCTAAGATAATACAACTCTCAAGAGCTGCTAATATTCTACTATAATATATATTAAACATGAAAAGGTATGACATAATAAGCAGTCACTATGAGTCAGAATCAACTTGATGGCAATAGGTTTAAGGAAGAATGTAAATATTTTTTTACCCAAAACACAGCTTAAGAAAAATTAACATTGCCCATACTTTGTAGGCCTTGTATGAACACATAAATTGTATTCCTGGGATAAATCCCACTTGGTCGTGATGTATAATTTTTTTTTATGTTTCTGGATTTAGTTTGCTAGTGTTTTGTCTGTCTTTTTCAGCTTACATAATCTTTATTGATCTATCTTCAAATTTGCTGATGATTTCTTCTGCCAGTCCAAATCTACTGTTGAGCCCCTTTGGCAAATTTTTTATTTCAGTTTGTATACTTTTTAACTCTAGAATTTCCATTTATTCTTTGTTATAATTGGTACTCTTTATTGATACTCTTTATTTGATGTGACATTGTCATCATCCTTTGCTTATTTGATCATGGTTTCCTTTAGTTCTGTGAACATATTTATAATGGCTATTTAGAAGTTTTTTCTGTTAAATCTGACGTCTGGTCTCTCTCACAGGCAGTTCCCATTGCATGCTTTTTTCTCTGGTGTATGGGCCATATTTTCCTGTTTCTTTGCATGCCTCGTAATTTTTTGTTGGAAACTGGACATTTTAGATACTATATTATGGCAACTCTGGGCACCGATCTCACCCTTTCCCCCTGGATTTTGTTGTTATTTACTTGTTTATTTTTTAGCATCTGGCTAGATTATTTTAGTGAAATCCTTCCTTGCCCCCAGTGTCAAGCCTCTGATGTTGCTTCTTAGTGAGACATCTTTAGATATGCCCACGGTCACCTAGGATGACAGTGGTACTGGTAGGGCTCTCTTTCTCTCTTTTCCTGGCCACACTCAGAAGTTAAACTCCACTAATGGTAAGCTGATTGCTCAGTTGTTTTCAACAATGCCCTGGGGCAGAAATTGTTCTGCAGACTAATTCAATCAAATTGTTATTCCTTTGATGGCATGGTTTCTGAGGTCCCTGTTTGATATTTGTTCTGACCCCAGGAGGATGACTCCCAGGGATCTTACTTACTGTTTTTCTCCTGAAAACTAGCTGGCCTACAGTCTAAGCTGTATTTTCGTTAAATCTACACATCTCCCAACTGCCTTTCACCACCATCCCTGCTGTTCTTGAGAGTACCCTGTAGTCTAGCATCTAAACTCAGCTGCATCCATGAGGGATAAGAATTAGGATCAGTACAAAGGTAGTTCCTAATGAGGTGGAAGTCAAACATACCTCCACTCTCCAACTTTTTCACCATTTCTGACATGAGCCACACCCACCACAGCACTCTCTGCTTTTCTGCTGGGTTTGATAATTCATTGCAACGGCCACATATAACTCACAGACCATACTTACAGTTACAAAGTTTATTAGGGAAGTAACAGGCTACAACTCAAGATCAGGATCAACTTCAGCAATCAGGACAGCTTCCAACCAGGACAACTCTCAGCTCCTTCTCAGCTGTGCCCACTGATAACCCATCTCACCGTGCCCTCTGATGACCTTCTCGGCTAGGCCCCTCTAGGCCTCTGCCCTGCTTGGGCAAGTGTTACAGCTCTTTTAACTACACCAACAAGTGCCCACAGGCACCCTGCCTCACCGGCAAGCTTCCAGCCCAAAGGTACTCAGCTCTCTTTCTCCATGGGCCAGCAAACCCACTGCAGCTGGCTCTCTCTATGGACTGGCAAGCCCACCACAACCATCTACCAGCCTCATAGTTCCTGCCACTGGTACTGCTGCCACCGTTTCTCTGCCACCTGGCTCTGCTGTGCTTGCCACCATTTCTCGCCATGTCGCACCATATTCAGTGTTACGGCACTCTCTTCTGGGTCTAAGAGGTTCTCAGTACAGAGACCCTGAGTTGCACTCTGCTCCAGACTCTTCTTGATGGTAGTGAGGTTCCCCTTGAACCTCTGTGGAATTGGCCCTTATATAAGCCTAGCAGGATGGCAAAACCAAACAAGCCTCTAGCTTCCATGCGAGTCAGTCCATTCTTTTGGGTGGATTTTCAAGCCACCATTTGCCTAGCACACTAACCAGTCCCTGAAAGGGTCATAAAATAGACAAATCACAGGGCAGACTGTGGCCCAACTAACCATTTTTGGCAGAATTGTAAACCTAAGGCCAAAAAGGCCATATATAAAGAGAAACCCATTGCACTGCACACCCTTAGGGTCGAACCTCTCCATGCTGTGTTGAAAATGAAGTCAGTTCCTATGGGAAGAGATTAGGAGCCATTCTTATCAAGAAATGGTGAAAACCCTCCCAACACCCAAGTTCCCAGATGGCCAGCCAAGGGCCAACCTTGCAAGCAGGCCTTTGTACACACAGCTGTTGCAGGCCTGCTATCTTAATTTTTCCTTCATATATCATAAGAACCTTTTACTAGTATACTTCCATTGTCATCCTTGTGGCATTTATGTCGGAGCCCTGGTGGCACAGTGGTTGAGAGCTATGACGAGCTACAGCTGCTAACCAAAATGCCGGCAGTTCAAATCCACCAGCCGCCCCTTGGAAACTGTGGAACAGTTCTGCTGTGTCCTGTAGGGTCGCTATGAGTCAGAATCGACTTGATGGCAATGGTTTTTGTTTTGGCATTTATGTTATTGGTGTATATTATATTTATAAATATCGTTTAAACCCTACCAAAACCAAACCAGTTGTCAAGTCGATTCTGTCTATGCTCCTAATGGTTTTCAGTAGCTGATTTTTCAGAAGTAGATCATTGGGCCTTTCTTCCAAGGCACTTCTGGGTGGACTCAAACCTCCACATTTTAGTTAGCAACTGAGCTTATTAACCATTTACAGCACCTAGGAATGTCATAAGCCCTGCAATGTATTGATATAATTTTGCTTTAAATAGTCCATTATGTTTTAAAGAGATTTTAAAAATAATAAAATAGTCATTTATATTTACCCACATATTTGCTGTTTCTGGTGTTCTTCACTGCTCTGTATGGATCCATATTTTCAACCAGTATCATTTCCTTTTGCTAATGGATTTCCTTTAACATTTCTTTTAGCACAAATCTGGGACGAATTCTTGCAGCTTTTATATATCTGAAAATGTATTATTTCTTCTTTGTATCTGAAAGATATTTTCGCTGGGAATAGAATTCAACATCGACAGTTTGTTTTTCTTTTAGTTCTATAGGGGTTGACGTCACCATGGCACCCTGGCAACCTTGCACATAGCCACGTAGGGAATGTAAGCAGGGCTTAACCAAAGGTGAACTGTATTTTGGCAGAATGCTGTGTGATCTTCCCAGACCATGAGAGCTTAAGAGGCTTGTGTCCCACTTTCCTTCCTGTCTCTTGGAGAGGCTGTCATGAGACATTTCTCATCATCTCCCAGGTTGTAATGAGGTCTGAGGCTTTCTGCCTCACCCTCTTGACTTATCTGCAGTCTAGGATTGGCTCCTTAGCAACAGAGTGCCCTATTATTGATGTTGGAGTTATCTGGCCCATTGCATTTTGGTGATGCCCTGTGCAAGGACCATGAGGAGCGGGTACTTTTGGCTACTCTTCCTTTCACTATCTATGTAAGTAATAAACTGTCTTAATCTTAAAAGGTATATTGTCTCTTTACTGCTTAAGTTTGCCCAGCCTGGTTTTGTCCTTGTGCTTGACAAGTACTTTAAAGATGTCGCTCCACAGCCTTCTGGTCGGCATTGTTTTGACAAGAAGCCTGCTGTTGTCTTCTTTCTGTACATAATGGGTCTTTGCCCCCACCTCCACCCCATCTGTTTTTAAGATTTTCTATTTATCACTGCGTGCAAACCAGTTCAGGGAGACTAAGATCACCTACTTCTGACACCAAATTGTGTAGTGGATAATAAATCACACTCCACATGCCGGCTGCATCCTATGGAAATCTCAGCTTCCCTTCCTTGTTTAGTTCAGACCCCAGCTGCCTACGCAGCCCTTCTCTCTCTCATCCCCAGCCACTCAGGGCTAGGTAAGGGGGTACTGGCTACAAGCTCAGGAGTCCACATCACTCCATTTCAGAAAGATGGCCTTGTCTCTCACCCTTAGCCACCCGGGGCTAGGTCAGCAGGTACAAGCTGCAACCTCGGGAGTCCCCATGACTCCCTTCACTTTAGACCAGCTGCCCCCAAATTCAAGGTTTTCCTCTACCTCCTCAGAGTACCAGCTGTAAGCCCAGTAATCCATATGACTCCCTTCACTTCAGGCTGGCTGGCTCCCTCTGCTCCTTTGGGTCCAGTAATTCACTGGAATGAGTCACAGCACTGATGGGAGACACCATACCTGCAATAACAACTTTAATATAACGAAAAAGGATATGAATGAAAAGATGCACAGGGTGAGGTTTGGGAGGGGTCACAGTGCAGAGCTTCCATGTCCCAGGGGGATGCACTGCTGTCTCCTGTGCATGGTCACCAACCAGGAAGCTGCCTGACCCTTCATCTTCCAGGCCTTTCTTGGCCTCACCATGTGGCCATGGTAGATGGCCATATTTTCCTACTTGTTTACATGCCTGGTGATTGTTGATCAAGTGTCAAGTTTGTGAATTATATCCTTGTTGAGTGCTGAATATTTTTGTATTTCTATAAATATACCTAAGCTTTTATAAAATATATTTTAAAATATTTTAGATATATACATTTTAAAATATTCTTCTGGGCTGCGTTTAAGTTACTTGGAAACACTGTGGTCCTTTAAAGGTTTGTTTTTGAGCTTTGCTATGAGGGAACAGAGCAGCCTTTAACCTAGGTCTAATTTTTTTCTACTATTGAAGGAATACCTTTCTGAGTACTTTACCCGATGCCCTAAAAATTATGATGTTTTTCTACTCTTGTATCCTTGCAAAAATCATGTTTTTCTATTTTGTGTGTGTGAGTGTGTGTGTTCTGTAGGATTTTTCTACATAGAGGATCATGTCATCTGTGAATAAAGACACTTTTACTGTTTTCCAATCTGTAGACTTTTATTTATTTTTTTGGTCTTATTACACCAGCTAGAACCGCCTGTATAATGTTGAGTATAATTGAGAGTGGACATACTTGCATTGTGCCCAGTTGCACTGTCAAGGAGTGTTCTCCCTAGCTAACCCTTTTTGCTTTGCTAATCATGTCAAACCAGTCCAGGGAGGCCAAAATCACCCACTTTTAATGTCAGATCTGTGGTGGATAACAAATTTGACTTGGCATGCCAATTACATCCTGTGAGAGCCTCAGCTTCCCTTCCCTGGTCAGTCTAGTCCCCAGCTGCTGCATGCAGCTGTTTATCTCTCATGCCCAGTGATCCAGGGCTAGGTCAGTAGGTACCAGCCCCTTTTCTCTCTCATCTCCATTCACTTGGGGCCAGGTTAGCAGGTACTGGCTTCTTCTCTATTTCTTAGGCCTGATAATCCATTGGAATGACTCACAAACTCCAGGGAAAGGACTATCTTTAATTTAACAGAAAAAAGCATGCAAACACATAGGGTGAGGTCCAGGAGAGGTCTCGGCGCAGAGTGTCCATGTCCCCAGGGAATGCGTTTACCCTCCTAAGAGCAGATGTTCACTCTCACCACCCAGGAAGCTCCCTGACCCTTCATCTTCCAGGCCTTTTATTGGCCTAACTACGTGGCCATGATAGATTACATCCTGAGTCTAGTCAGCATTGAGCCTCTAGGTGATCCCTCTTGGTCTGGTCAGCCCCCACTCATGGCCTCGGTGGTAATCCGGTTCTCAGGTACCAGGACCAAAGGCCAAATTGCTTACTGCAAGGGAATTTCACACCTCGTGTCAATATTATGGGGATAGTCTTCAGTCTTTCATCAGTGTGATGTTATCTGTAGGGTTTTTGTAAATACTTTTTTATTAGGTTGAGTAAGTCTCTTCTATGCCCAATTTGTTGAGAATTTTTATCATGAGTGGGTATTGGATTTTGTCAAATGCTTTTTTAATCTCTATCAGGATGATCATGGGGTTTTTGTCCTTTTTTCTATCACTATGATGCTTTTCATTAGTTGATTTTTGGATGTGAAAATCATCTTTTATTTCTGGAATAATTCTCACTTTGTCATGGTATATAATTCTTCTTATGTGTTGTTATATTGTTTAATGTTTTGTTAAAGATTCTGGCACTTATTTTTATGAGGGATATTGTCTGTAGTTTTCTTGTGATGTATTTTTCTGGCTTTGGTATCCAAGTAACACTGGCCTCATAGAATAAGTTGGGAAGAGTTCCCTCCTTCACTCTTTTCTGAAAGAATTTGTGTATGATTGATATTTTTCTTCTTTAAATATTTGATAGAATTCAACAGTGAGGCCATCTGAACTTGAAATTTTCGTGGGGGGATTTTAAATTACTAATTCATTTTTTTAATTGTTATAGGTCGATTCAGATGATATATTTCTACTTCTTTCAGTTTTGGCATGTCTGCATTTCGCCTGTGCTTTTTAAGTGTAGTATTGCAGGATATAGAAGACTCTGCTGACTGTTTTCTCCCCCCAGCATTTTGAAAGAATATGCTGTCCCACTGTCTTCTGACCACCATTGTTTGTGATGGAAAGTCAGCAGTAAATTGTATTGTTGCTCCCTTCTACATAACAAGTGTTTTTCGCTTGCTGCTTTCCAGTATTTTTTTCTTTATCTTTCAATTGTTTGACTATAACACATCTAAATGTGAATTCTTTAGGGGGCTTGTTGAGCTTCTTAGATGTGTAGATTAATATTTATTATCAAATTTGGGACATTTTCATCCATGATTTCTTCAGATTTCTTTTTGCTCCTTTCTCTCTTTTATAAGACTCACAATACATATATGTTGGCATGTTTGATGTTGTCCCACAGGTCTCTGACGTTCTTTTTCTCTATGATCTTCAGACTGGATAATTTTTATTGTCGTATTTTCAAGTTCACTGGTTGTTCCTCCTGCCATCTCATATCTGCTGTTGTGTGCCACCCCCCAAACTACAATGACTAAAGTGAGTTTTTCACCTTAGTCATTGTGGTTCTCAACTCTAAGATGCAAAAGCTGGACAATGAATGAGGAAGACCGAAGAAGAATTGACGCCTTTGAATTGTGGTGTTGGTGAAGAATATTGAATATACCATGGCCTGCCAAAAGAATAAACAAATCTGTCTTGGAAGAAGTACAACCAGAATGCTCCTTATAAGCAAGGGTGGCAAGACTATGTCTCACATACTTTGGACATGTTGTATCAGGAGGGATCATTCCCTGGAGAAGGACATCATGCTTGGTAAAATAGAGAGTCAGTGGAAAAGAGGAAGACCCTCAATGAGATGGATTGACACAGTAGCTGCAACAATGGGCTCAGGTGTAGCAACAATTGTGAGGATAGCACAGGACCGGGCAGGGTTTTGTTCTGTAGTGCATAGGGTCACTATGAGTCAGAACCGACTCGATGGCACCTAACAACAACATTTCTTTATTGACATTCCACATCTGTTCAGTCATTTGTATCATATTTTCCTTCAATTATTTAAACAGTTTTCTTCAATTCCTTGACTATATTTAAGATGGCTGCTTTGATGTTTTTGTTTGATAAATCCAACACTTGGGCCTACTTGGAGACAATGCTGGTTGACTGCTTTTTTCCTGAGCATAAGTTATATTTTAATTTTCTTTGTATGTTTTGTTGAAAATTAGACACTGTAGATTATATAGCAACTTTGCGTTCTGATTTTTACCTGAGGGCTATTGCTGCTTTTTTTCTTTCTTTTTTTTTGCTTATTTTTTAAATTTATTTTTTGTAACTAGCCTGGTCTTAATCTTTGGGACCTGTCTCCACTGTGGAATTTTTAAAAGCAAGTCTCAGACTTCTATTATATTATTTTACACAAAATACTCAGTAGGATTTTTTTTTTAATGTAAAAACAGTTATCACCTCTTCATTGTTTTCGTTCCATTGAAGAGTATGTAAAATGCTGATTGATTTTTTTTTTCTCCTCCCTTGCAGGGAATGTAAGTACACTAAGAGCACTGAACTTAAGACACTGCCCTCTGGAATTCCCTCCTCAGCATATTGTGCAGAAAGGACTGGTAGCTATCCTGACCTTCCTGCGGGTCTGTGCAATGGAGAATGCCTCCCCTAGAGACTTGACTTCTAAAGGTTTGTAGGACAATTATTAATGATAAATTGCTTTAAAACTAAAGTTAGTGCTTTTTAAACTCAGGACGCCAGAGAACCTGTCTTCTCTTTAATATGTCATAAAAATTATGGGAGCCTCCTGTGTCTTCTGCTGAATTCACACAGCACCTTCTTCCTACACTAATCTCCATGCTGACTGTCCTGTATCTGTGTCATGTCACTGTTCTGTGTTCTTGGATTTACATCCTCTGTACCCATCATAGAGCCTATCTGGGGTAGATTTTTGATAAAACCTCATTGGGATAGATTAGATCAAATACTCATCACCACCACCAGACAACTGCTTTAAGAACTACTTGGTACTCCAACAGACAACTGTTCAAAAATAAGCATAGTGGAATGTCTCTTATTCCTAGTTTGGTATAAAAACCAAACCCAAACCCATTGCTGTCGAGTCGATTCTAACTCATAGCAACCCTATAGGACAGAGTAGAACGGCCCCATAGGGTTTCCACGGAGCCACTGGTGGATTTGAAACAGGGTTTATAAACATGTTTTGTATTATCACTTTTTTGGTGCATTTTCACCAAACAGTTTTATTTTTTCAACATATTGAACATCCAGCCAAATGATCTCGAATAGGCATTGTAGTTACACTCAGAAGAAGTAATGAATAGATGACAGATGCCACATGGAGATTCCGTTATTAATATGGAAGCCACCTTTTGTAGGTTGAAACCACAAGCTTCAACTTTACAGTTTTTGGTTTTTTATGAAGTGAGGCCTTCCATGGATGCCTTTAAAACAGATTCTCCAGTGACTTATTCTGTTTTTCAACACTCCAAGGGGAAGAGGTTTAGGCTGATAGGAAATTTGAAGATACACACCCAAGGAGACCACTAGCTCTGAAAGGGAGAGAGGAAAGAGAGATGCTGTACCTATGTCCTTCCTGAGTAATGTTCTGGATTCTGAGCCATACGTAAGAGGAATACCTAGTGTATGTCTCCTCTAGTAAGGAAATTCATGACTTCGAGTAAGAAATCAGCAAGTGGACACAATGCACTGCACACAGCCGCTAGTGGTGCTCCACGGGCAGAGAGGGTACAGGGGAGGAGAGTGAGCATTGTGCTTTCCGTCCATTCGTTTTGTTCTCAGTGGTCTGTGGGGGACACTGGCAGTAGGTGGCATCCGGAAGCCCATGATGGAAGGGATCATCCAGAGTGGTCAGGAAGTGATGTGTTAGTTCATCTTTATCCTCACCCTGTAACAAAAGCTCCGGGATGCATGTTTTAAAATGTGGATGGTCTTCATAATCTGTCTTAGTTGGATCCGCAGGAGCAGCTCCTGAGACAGGGACTCAAGTGCCAGTCCTTGTTTCGGGGTGAGCCAGGAAGCACTCGTGGAGGCATGGGGAGGTGAGACCAGGCAGGAAGGAAGCCTGTATGGGTGAATTATCAAGCCGGTTACAGTCCTGTGCACCCTCATCCTGCTGAGGAACTTTGGGAGACCAAGCCCACGCCTGGCAGCATTGCTGGCACCACCTGGTCCGGTACAGCCCTCCACCCCTGCTCCACCTTTGCTGGGTCAGTATCTGCATTCTAACAAGATCCTGTAGGCAAATTAACGCTTGCAGAGCACTGGTGCAGAGCACGCCTTTGAGTTACCCAGGAGCGAGGGAGCTGGCTGTTGTCCTTCCCTGGGGTGGGCACCTTCCCTCTCCAGCTCTCACGCCTGCCTTGCACGTGGCAGTGTGCTCTCAGGCTGAGACACAAGTGTGGGTCAGAGTCTGGCCTGCGTGCATGAACCCCAAGGCCAAAGGGCCAGGGCAGAGCCCGTCTGCTCACTGGTCTGCGTGTCCACTCGCTGACTCATTGTGAAGGCAGACTGTCAGCAGGACCCAGTGCTGTTCCGAGTGCACGTTGGGGGCCAGGGGCTTGGGGGGAAGGGTAGATTGCTCATTCAGGAAGGGCCATTGATCTCATGAGGGGACACATGGACCTCGTCCTAAAATCAAGAATATTGCCGGCAGATGGTTGTCAGACCCTCCAGTGGGGCCAGGCTGACATGTGGAGAAGGAGGCCACTGGATTGCAGCAGAGCAGATGGGGGTGGGAGGTGAGGCCGGCGAGGTGCGGACAGAGCTTCCCGCCCTGGGACTTTACTCCAGGTGTGATGCGTGCTTTAAGCAGAGGAGAAGAGGATCTGGTTCATGTTGTAGGAAAGATCATTCCAGCTGCTCCGTAAGAAAGGGTCAACGAGGCCAAGGCAGAGGCCGCCGGAGAATGGGGGGTTCCCAGTCTCTGTGAGGGCAGCGGAGGGTGGAGGTAGAGCCTGCAGAGGGTGGGCGGCCAGGAGGGGGCACCTATGAAGATAAAACCTGTGGCAGTTGGGCGGCGGGGTGGGGGGAGCCTGTGTGCCGAGGTAGAGCCTGCGGGGGCGGCC